TTTCCAGGTTAGGGCTAGGGATATGATAAATGCAAAGGTAAGTGGAAGCTCACAGATACTCTATTTCATCAGACTTGATGTAGCCAATTTTCTCCATCGGAGTGAGAGACACCTTGAAAGTTTAATTGTAAGATGCTGCCACTTTATCTAACTATGCTTTTCAAAACATTAGGCTAGTTGCCCCATTCTACATTGTAAATCTCAAACTATCTCTTCAAACTATCTGCCATCAGTTGGCTGAAGCTGAAGGAGTTCAGAATACACCCCCCTTGTCCCAGTTGCTGTGGCGCAGTCAGACATATGCGACTGCAGGGCTGGTAAGCCACATCTGGGCCATGCTCGAGCTCAGCTGTCCCGGAAACACATCAGTGTGTGCCCAGATCTGGAAAGCAGGAGACCAGAGGAAGAGGATGGGGAAGTGACTGTGCAGAGTTCTGCCTCTCTCTCTCTCTCTCTCTCTCTCATGCACACATGCACCTAATCATGAATAATACACACTCACACACACACTTACATGCCACCCCAAAATTCACCTCTCTAACATACTGTTGTCTTAAGGTAAAAGCATGTATAAGGAGCAAGGAACTAGATGGTGGATTAACAGGAAAATGCCAGGCCTAGTGAGGCTGAGCCTCATAGTGTGGGGACATGTGCTGAGCAAACACCACATGCTCTTTTGGGGTTTGGCAGAACCTTGTTACCTGTCTTTCCCTGACCTTGGCTGCAGACAGAGCAAGGGTGGAAATTACTAGGGGCGTTCCAACAGACACATCTGATGGACTTCAAGAAACATCTTGACCCCAAATAGTAAAATCCAATCCCTGCTCTGCATCTGAAAGGTTCTTTAGACTTCTCTGGGTGTGGTGGTACTCTCCTTATGGAGAAGTTCTTTAGCTCCTTCCCCATACCTAAGAGCTAGTTCTCTGCATTAGAAAGGAAGATGAGATTTGCTCTAGATGGGATTACCACCAAGGGATACACCTTGCCCCAGGTATGACTAATCTCTTATAGATTTGTTAATGGCTTCTTATTGTCTGTAACCTAGCAACCAATCCATGAAGTATCATGAAACACACATGTGTAATGTCTTCTTGTACTATAAATAAAGACGTCCAGTTTGTCTGGGCGGCACAAGTTGCTTGGGCTACCTAGGTTCAGGCTGCCTGTGTCCATTTCTACTCTATCCCTTTGTCTCGTTCTTTCCAATTCCCTGGTCCTGGCAAGATGGAGGGCTTTCTCTTTCTCGTCCTCTTTCTCTTCCTCACCAGCAGCCCTCTGATCATGATTCAGCCAGACCCAAGCCCTGGGGTGGACGCCGACATCATAGGAAGGTTTGTAGACCTCACCAAGTATGGTAGAAACACAAATGACCTGGATCAGGGCACCGTGACATCCCCTGTTGATGCTAGTGCGCTCACGCTCTCTCTGTCTCTCTCTCTCTCTCAAAGAATAAATAGACAAATAAACTTAAAATTTTAAAAATTGCAAAAGAATCACTGATATTTGCACTGTTTCTTAAAAGAAAGAGGTGCATTTCCATGTGAGAACATCTATATCCTCAAGGATGAAGAGTAGAGACCCAAATAATTCTGTACAGACTCTGTTAAAATGACTTATCTTTTAAGCCTCCCCACATAATTTAGTCATTCCTCACAATGACTATTCTTTGTCTGATCCAGCAAGGAAGTAACTGACTCTAAGTGCTTCTTTGAGTCTCCTTTTCTTTATGAGGGCTCCTCTATCCCATAAAATGCACATTAAATAAATTGGTGAGCCTTTCTCGTATTAATCTGTCTTCCATCCATTTACTTCTGAAGCCCAGCCGAGGCCCTAGGAAGATGGAGGTGGAGTGTATCAGTCCTCCACAGGGTTGTCCGTCCTTGGGTACTGCAGAGTTTATTAAACACTCTTCTCCCTTTTACCATCCAACTACATGTTTGCTATGTCTCAGTCTTCTCTAAAAAACCTCCCCTCTAATTATGTTATGTCCTGTCACTAGTGTGTTTCTGCAGCACATCAAATGGACCAAACATTCACAGAGCACCTCTTCCTTTTTCTAGTCTCTTGCCATGGGGCACATGTTCCTCAGTGGGGAGAGATGGAGAGGGAAAGTGAGAAGTCACCTCCTGGGGGATGGATGGCCACACCTCAATCCCCTCTCCTCCATTCTTTTCTCAGGATTTTGGACACACATGCACAAACACAGTCTGGTTTTCAATCCACCAGGTCCAGGATTCAGACCGTGGTTGGTCATGTAGGAATCCAGCACATTAACTAACACGCCACCTGCTGGCCCCACAGAGCACCTCTTATATGCAAACTACTGCTGTTAAGGTGTGAACAAGGAGGCCTGATCCCAGTTTCCTGAACCGAACAGTCAGGCTGGGAAGAAAGACTTCAAGCAAACAATTAGAAGTAATTAACAAAATGAGTAGAAGTGTTCAGAGTATCCTAAAGGACACACTTCAAGGGATATGCTAGAACGTAGAGGAGCAGAGCCTAAAGTAGAGTAGCAAAAAGAAACGAAAGTCAGGAAAGTCTGCCATGTGTGTTCTAGGTAAAGAAAAGGAAAACCAGGATTCTAGGCAGAGAGAGCAACATGTGCAAAGACACCTCAAGGCTGGGGAGAGGAGGAAACAGACATATTTTAGGAACAAAGAAGAGAAAGACTGTGAAGGATGGGGCTGGGGACACATTGGGCATGCCTGCCAAGGGACCTGTGGCAGCCACGCAGTGCACCCCTGTGCTTCTCTCCAAGGAAGAACTCCCTCTTCGTCTGGGAGGAGGGCAGGAAGCTGCCGTCACTAGCTTTAAGGCCTTCAGGATGCAGCACAAGCCACAGTGTCCACCCTGGCAACCTCAGAGCCACGTCTGTGCTCCTCCTGAGCAGCCTGGAGGCTGGGACTAAGCGCAGTTGCAGTGTGAGGTTACAACTGCTCCTGCCCAATGCAGGAGCCCTCAGACAGGTGCTCTTGCGTAAGGACCCTGCTGACCAGCCAAGGCTTTCCTAGATTTGTTTTGCAGAGTATACCCTTTTTTCCAGTCTGAGGCTCTCTCTGGGCTTTGGTTTTGTTGCCTTTGATTGTTTTGAGGCTTGATGACTAACCACTGTGTTATAGATATTATCAATTAGACACAACAAAGGAGACTCACAGAATTGCATTCCCAGCCTTTAATAATTTTAGTGGAGGTGCTGGGAAAAATCAAAACACAGCTGTGAAGACTTACTTTCTTTTTTCTAAGAAACTTAAAATTCACTGTGTCTGGATGCAGTAGATAACTCTCAATTGGCTGTTTTCTGTTTTCATTAAACAAATATTTAATTATAGCAATTTACTGCTGGAAATAGCACAATACATTCGTCATAGTTCAGCAAACCTAGAAAAGAGATGAGAAATGTTCACTCAATTTCTTTTGTTGAGTTTTCAGACTGAGTTACTTGCCAATTATGATCATTAACAAGGTTTTTCATCACAGAGATAAAGGGGATTTACTACCTCAACTTAGTAAATGTGTGCTAGAGTGAATCTTCGATAAACTTTTGCCAGAGAGCAAATCTTTGTTGGAATTGCCTGACACCTACCCCATCCTGCCAGATGTGTATCAGTCACATGGTTTGAAACTATGAGCCATGTGGATCAATCCCACTCCAGGCTCAAGTCCAACCCCATCAGGGTTCTCTCTTCCTCCTTTGCCAATAGGAACAGAGGTTCAATAGCGAGATCTTAGAAGTCTGATGACGTGGGAAGTGATACATCGTCCCTGCCCTCTAAGCTTTAATCCCTCTACATGTGAAGGGTGAAATGTTATGTGTCCAGCTGGAGACAGTGGGGAAAGACAAAGCCTACACAGCAGAGTCAACATAAATCAAAGAAACCGAGTAGGAGATGTTATCGAGCTATGTCTAAAGATCACTCTGATTACTGAGCAGGTGGATATGTATTTTCTTTAACTCCTTCTATCAAAAGCATTCTTGCATACGAAGTTTTTTTTGTTTGTTTGTTTGTTTTGTTTATAATTACACAATGGGTCACATAGCTCACCTTCACTTACTGTCCCTGCCAAGAAATTGTCAGTTGTCATTCAACACATCATGTTTAATTCTATAGATTTTCTTTCAACACGAACGTTAAAAAACTTTACCATTTTGGGACCAGCAATTGATGTAATGGCCATGTCGCTGGATTCCCATGTAGTCAACCATGGTTTGAGTCCTGGACCTGGTGGCTTAAACTCATGCCAGGTGCATGTGCGTGTGAGCCCAAGATCGAGAATAGAGGAGAAGGAGAATGGAGGAGAAGGGATTGTGGTATGGCCATCTCCCCGAGGGGGTGATTTCTCGCTTTCTGTCTCTCTGTCTCTCTCTTTCTGGTGAGTGTATGCTCCTTATAGCAAAAACCTCTCCAAAAGAAAAAAAAAAAACCTTTACTATTTCAACAAGAATCAAAATAGTTAAAATATAAACTTGTTTATTAATAAATGAATGCAATTAAACCTTTGCATGCTAGGCGAAAACCATCGGTGAACAACCTAAAAAGCACACACATGTGTAGTAGACTACTTCCTGGCTTAAAAGAAATACAGATAATAGTTTATTTACATAAGAGTTTGGGCCAAATCTATGCCATGTTTGTCTGTTTTGCCCACACGATATTTAAATATTTATTACAAAACCCACGTAGCACTGCATGGCAGCAATGGCCTAGAGAGAAAATGGAGCAGGTCAGTTCAGCCCAGCATGAACCCTCAGTTTTGACTACCTTTCTCACAGTCCAGTTCATCCCTTATGACCTTGTCATGTATAATGTTTACGTTTGGGATCTCTGATCTAAGTGCATGCGTGTGTTTTGACAGGCAGCTCCGTACAGATTTATTTCACATACAGACATAAAAAAAGGCACAAAAGTAAAAATCCATTTCAGATGAGTATAAACTTTAAACAGAATCCTTCACATCCTTGGTCATGAGACACTCAGTCACCACACAGGTGCATGCCTTACCTGCAGGTCCTTTTCTTCTATCTTCTTTTGGAGCACTAAAAGGCACTTGGTAAAGTCAGTGTGGTCTTGATCAGGAGTTGAAATAAGCTCACATCCCTACGGACGGAAGTATAAGAACAAGCAAGAGTAAGTGAGGATACCAGCCTCATGACTGAGATCAAGATCTATAGAAGTTATGAGAAAATATCAAGAGACATATCCTATTATTGCCCATATTTTTTCCCTATCATTAGAATCATTTTCTTTTTTATTTCACTTAACAGGACAGTTCAGAAACAATGTTAGAATGTTACAATAATGGGCTGATTATGACAATCACTTTACCCTAGATAAATTCAGATTATGTGATGTTAATAGTTTTAAAAGACACACTGCTGTGATGACATTTGAGATAAATAAGAGGACTTTGCTATGTATAATAAATTATATTCACAGTAAAATGACCTGATACTCAAATTCAGCTATTTCTAAAAATGTCTGAAATTCTTCAGGTAGACCTCATCAATTTATTTCCAAGACTGAAAAAAGTAGTATTAATAGTGAAGTAATGGTAAAATTTTACATTTTAGGTAAAATCAAGTTAGCCATGCAATAAAGTTCTTTGAGCACCGTTTCCCTCATGTGAAAAGCAGAAAGAGCCACGCCTGCGTAAACATGCCTCCTGGATTATCTTGCAGACGTAATGAAGTGAATTTATAAGTTCTGCACCTTCTTTACACTAGGCCCTGCCTAGTGAAGAACACCGAGATATATTAATAAATAGAAGGCCACAAAAGTGCCAGCTTGTCAGCACTCTTGAACCCAGATGACTAAGGAAACCATATTTTTGAAATGACACCTTTTCCTCCAATGTCATACAGAGGTAAAGGTACATGAAACCAGAACAGGATGGGACTGAAGACTTCTTAATTCAAGAATAAAACAATTCTTGGACTCCGACAAACAGCTGAGTCAGGGAAAGTTAAAAATAATATAGTATATAAAGTTGCCATTCAAAGAGTTTTCAAGGATACAAAACACCCATACTGCCTCTTAAATTATTCTAAGAACCATTCTCGGTAGATTTAAAGGTTCTTCCGTTACTTCAAGGTCTCTTTAAATGTGTCAAGCTCAACCTGTGCTTCATTCATTTATGACTGCACTACAATGTGGTGACCAATGAAAACCTTAATTTCTCATCACTCAGAACTATATTACATTCTAAAAGATGTATATGTCATCTTTACAAGATTGTCGACATATACTTTCGTGACCCTAAAAGATCATTGAAATTTACTATAATCACCAAGCAAGGACATAAAGAAGAGACTTGTTTCAGGCTAACACTCCTAAGAAAGAAGATACAAGCATATTTCAGAGCCTACAGCAATAACAGCAGAGCTGATGGAATCTATCACAAACGAGAGGCGGTTACTGCAAGTTCCCTGCGGGCAAGGATTATGTTTCATTCATTATTGCTTGCAGTGCCTGGCACCAGTCTGCCACATAGCAAGTGTTCAATAAATGCATAAACAATATTCCTGAGAAGTAAAAATGTATACTTCTGTTTACCTCTACTGGCAAAAGAGTAGGATCCTGCAGCACCTTATTGCTAAATCTGGCATATATGACACAGGAAAATTGCCTTCCACTTTTACATGCTGACTATAGAAACAGTCATTCACACACAAGCAAAGACAATTAAATTAGAAGGGAAATACAAAGAGCACCAGAATAGATGATTAACAGATCACAGTCTGCCTTCATGGTTTTATTCATAGGATCAACAGAGAGTCTCAGGGAAACTGACAGTTAAACAGAGCCCTAGAAATAATCTCTGGCATGGGAGGAGGGTGGTAAATAGGGAAGGGTGAAAGGAAGGAAATTAAGGGGGAAAAGAAGCAAAACATTTAAGGGACGCAAAAATGAAAAATTATCTTGACGATAACATGTGACGGTATCTTTAACTGGACTAACATACAACGTATTCATGCTAGGAAAATTCATTTTTATAAGCTGTAGTGAGATACAGTGATTGAATGTACAATAAATAAATAAACTACAAAAAAAATACTTAATCAATCTGGTATCACTGTCACAGTTTGCAGATTAAGAAAAAAAAAAAAAAAAACAGGAGAGAAACTGTTAAGGGGGCAGCGAGGTAGTGCCATGACTAGAAACCTTTCTTTATTCTCATGAAATATGAACAAAGTTTTTAAGTATATGATAGAACAACGCTGTTTAACATCTAAAGTTGATTCAGAAAGAAGGATACAACTATGAAAAACAAAACAAACCCTAGGGACCAGCAGTTAGCGTAATGGCTTTGTCGCTGGACTCCCATGTAGTCGACCGCGGTTCACATCCTGGACCCGGTGGCTTAAAACTCATGCCGGGCGCGTGTGCATGCATGCCCAAGATCCCGAGAGGAGAATGGAGGAGAAGAGATAGCGGTGGCCATCCCCCCTAGGGGGTGATTTCTCGCTTTCTGTCTCTCTGTCTCTGTCTGGCGAGCGCACGCGCCCTATAGCAAAAACCTCTCAAAAAAAAAAAAAGCAATCCTGAAACATTTGAGAAAGGCTGGAATATCTTACCTTGCCTCATCACTTAACCTGGACACAGAACAGCTATGTCAGGGCAGGGATGAAGAGTACTAGCACTGAAAAAATTCAGATTGTATTTAAACCAATAAGTTCTATAAACTCTAGCTGAAGTGTTTAACAGTCATTCACAGCTTCCTGGAATTTTCATGAGTTCAAATAGTTTTTTTTTGTTGTTGTTTGTTTGAGAGGTTTTTCACTATAGGGTGCGTGCGCTCGCCAGACAGACAGAGAGAGACAGAGAGACAGAAAGCGAGAAATCACCCCCCAGAGGGGATGGCCACGCCGCAATCCCTTCTCTTCCATTCTCCTCTCGGGATCTTGGGCACGCACGCACACGCGCCCGGCGTAGGTTTTAAACCACAGGGTCTGGAACGCGAACCACGGTCGACTACATGGGAGTCCAGCGACATAGCCATTACACTAACTGCAGGTTCCCGAGTTTAAATAGTTTTAACCTTATCACAGATTGAAAATAAATTCACTAGAAGTAAAAGAATTTCCAATAGCCCTCATAGACCACTGAAAGAGGAAATCAGCAAACAAAATATTAGCCTAAGGGCGATAAAAGGCCTTTGACCAACTAAAACTGTTGTCACTGTTTCCTAGGTCTTGGAAGTAATATATTAAGACAGGAAGGACTCTGTAGCACAGCAATTAAGGTTGTGCAGTGGGAGCTGATCCCACATAACTGATCATGGTTCAAATCCTAGCCCAACAGCTTTAAAAACACCTGAGTGTAATTACATCATGTACCTAGGATCATGATAGGATGGAGAAATGAAGGAGAAGGAACTGTGGCATGACCGGAACTCATTGGGAGGTGCGCTCTCTCTCTCTCTCTGTCTCTCTCTCTCTGTCTCTCTGGCATGCAGCAACGCCCTCTGATGATAAAAAAGACCTAAGAAAGGAGAAATAGAAAATTAAGAAAACTAAGGGTGAGAACCAATCATGATCCTTCAGAAAAAGTATAAAACAGAAACACAATGCTCATCTGTTATATAATAATATTTATAAATATTTATTATATAGAATAAAAATTTGAAAACAGAAAAACACAGTTGCCATGAAACATTTTACTGATTTGATATTTTCTTTTAAAACAAACAAACAAATCCAAAAATTTCACACTCACTATCCAAGAACCTAGAAGACACGAAAGCCATAAAATTTGGCCAATTTAAAAGTATACAACTTTCTAATAGTTTGTAATATTATTTTCTTAACAGAAATATATACATTTTATCTTGAAATTCATAGAAACTTTTCCAAAGTATAAACTACAAAACCAGTGGGTGGCATAATGGTTACATCGCTGGACTCCTACATAGTAGACCATGGTTTGAGTCCCAGACCTGGCAGCTTAAAATTCACGCCGGTTGTGTGTGCATGTGTGCCCAATATCCTGAGAGGAGAATGGAGGAGAAGGGATTGTGGCATGGCCATCCCCCTGGGGGAGTGATTTCTCGCTTTCTGTCTCTCTGGCAAGCAAACATGCCCTACACCAAAGGAAACAAACAAACAAACAAAATCTCTCTCTTAAAAAAAAAAAGAAAAAAAAAAACCCACTAGGGACCAGCAGTTGACTTAATGGCCGTGTCGCTGAACTCCCATGTAGTCAACTGCAGTTCAAGTCCCGGACTCAGTGGCTTAAACTCATGCCAGGCACGTGTGCGTGCGTGCCTAAGATCCTGAGAGGAGAATGGAGGAAAAGGGATTGCAGCATGGCCATCCCCCCTGGGGGTTGATTTCTCACTTTCTGTCTCTCTGGCAAGCAAACATGCCCTACACCAAAGGAAACAAACAAACAAAAACTATTAAACTCCTTAAGACAGTCTTCAGATGCCAATGTTTGAGTGGAAACTTATTACAACTACTACTCTGATTTTTACCTAATTGCATGAAATGTAGTTTTAGGGTTCTAAGTATTATTTTATAATCCAGCAGGTGGCTCCAATTTCATACATTTTTTTTCTTAGCAGTTTTTGTCATACAAATGCACATTTAAATAACTCAATTCTAATAGTAAGTTCCCTTTGTGAATACATCACTTTTTTCAAACTGGATTATTAGTGTTTTAATATTACATTTTATGAATGTTGCTTTATAACAGAATTAGAAAGAAAAAGACTTGGACAGAGGCCGCACATTTCAGTGAGTACATATCAAGGTTATTCTGATTTTGTTCTAACCTAAAAAGAATCTTTCAAAGATGAGGAACCACAGTGCCCACTCCATCCTTTCTAAAGCATAAAAGAAAAAGCAAGAAAAACTGAATAGGTTAGAATAAGCACTTGAAAAATTTTGTTCTAATGTGCCAAATTAACCAGTCTCCTTTATCAAGTAGCTCTCATCCCATGAATTAAAATCAAGAAAAGCTATAGAAAAATTAATTATAAATCAATTAACAAAGGCCCAACCCACTACTTTTTAGAGGCTTACTGTACCCTACTCCTTTATTTGGTAATATTACGTATAGAAGAAGTAGGAACCCAGATACTAAAAAGTTTAGTATAAAATAAAATCTAAATATCACTAACACTAACATGTAAAATACAAACTTCGGTATGTTTGTGAGAAATAAAGACAGAGATATACGCAGCTTCTTTTCTTCCTCTTTCCATACTGAGAAATTCCTAGCAGTATTTTTCCACTTCCTAGTAAGTGCTTGCCGAAAGGGGGTGGATAGGGAATCAATCTCCTAGCTATCCCTAAATGCTCCTGCCTTTGGCGGAAAAGAGGGGTAGTAAGGGCACTTGAAATACTATCAAGGCTTCAGAGCTAAGTTATACTCTAAAACAGAATTTGGCCAGGAAGCTCTGTACTTGGGGCTGGGCTGGTCCCTCAGCATAGTGGTTAAGGAAATTAGATACCACATGGCACAAACCTTGTTCAAATTCCAGCTAGAGCACTTTAAAACACTGCTGGTGCACGGTGTGCATGTCCCAGTCTGATAGGCTGGAGACAGAGGGGAGAAAGAACCGCAGTATGGCCACACCCTGTCAGGGTTGCTTTCTCTCTCTTCTCTCTGTGTCTCTCCAGCAAGCACAAGTACCCTCTGGCAAATAGAAAAAAAAGAAAAAAGAAAAAAATTATGCCTCCAATATTAATGAAGTCTCCACTTGATCCTTGGTCCATTCAGTTAGACCCCCCAAAAAAATAACTAATCACTAGATCAGAGGTATTTTGCCATAGGGTGAGTGCCACCATGCCCAGATCAGAGGCATTTTGAAAAATACTTTGCAGGGGACCAGCAGTTAGTGTAATGGCTATGTTGCTGGACTCCCACATAGTTGACCACGGCTCAAGTCCTGGACCCAGTGGCTTAAAACTCACGCTGGGTGTGTGTGTGTGTGTGTGTGTGTGTGTGTGTGTG